TTCACCCTCTCTCTGTTGTTTTGTATTCTTCGTTTTGTACTTATTGTTTTTCGCTGTCAACAGAGTAATCACATTAGCCGCATGGGTTGCAGCGGGAGTGAAGGCTGGTGAGTGACAGCTGAATAGCGATTAAAATTGAGGATGTAACACCTTATTTGGCACCTGTGATACCCTCCTGACTCTCCTGCCTTCGTCACCCAGTCCCAACTTTTTGGTATCTGTTGTTCAGTTCAGATTTCTTTTTCATCATGATCAGCTTCCTGCGCAAAGGGAACTCAGAAAGAGCAGGGATATGGTTTATTTTGGAAGGGGGTAAGTAGGGGGGAGGGGCGCTTTGACTCATGTACTTGTTGATTACAGTATATATAGATATATATATGTGTATAGAAATAGTCATTATTTATATTTCCATTTATGTGTCCAGTATGAAACTGTTTTTTGATAGATGTGTTCCAAAAATAGTATGTAGGTGTGTCATTAGCCTATGTGCTATTTGATCCTGGGACCTGGTGGGCCAGTGTTTGCACAGTGGGGTGTGTGTCCAGATGTGTATACTGTATGTAGTTAGTGCCACAGAGGTACACGGCTGGGAGGGCTTCAGGGCCAGATGAAGGGACTTAACCCCCTGCTGGAGTTTAAGGGGTCTTTTGAGAGAAGAAACGGAAATGAAAAATCTTGTTCACACTTTAGAGCGTTCATTTAGCACTTTCCAATCTTTTTGATGTTCAGAATGTTTAAGGATGCAAAAATGACTGGAGAAATGTTAGTATATTTTTGTACAGTGAAGACACAAGGACCTGTAAGTTTGAGAAAAAAAAATGCTCAGTATAAAGTTAGAAAACAAACAAAAACCAAACTAACAGTGAATTCTAATTATTTTTACTATCATATAGTTATACTGCTGCTTTACTCCAAGATATTGTTGTTCAGCACAAAAAATGTATGCTTACCTGTAAGTTCTGTTTTATTTTGTTTTTGTTTTTCCCCAGTAATTGATTTTGCACCTTAGTGAAAGAAAACCTTGACTGATTGCGTCTTGGTCTTGTGATGCATTTTATAGAACACACTTTGAGATTGTGCAACCCTACTTGTGTTTTGGCTGTTTTAAAAGTTGTAGTACCACATAATGTGTCACTGAAACAGCTGATCTATCTCAGCAAAAAAAAAAAAGGAAAAAAAAAAAGAAAGAAAAAAGTATGTACCAGTTGTTTCAGAGGCCTTAATTGGAGAGGAAAAAATCTCGGGAGAATTTTCTTAATTTCTCTTAAGTTTTGGTGTTTTTCTTTTAGTGTTAGAAGACTCTAAAATGTGTTTTATTTACTTTTACTTTTGCAACATTTGATGTTAGTAAACATACGTAATCAGGAGAGAAATGGAAAGTAGTTCTATGTATTACTTATGATTTATTTTGATTTCTTTTGTCAGGTCATACATGTGTGAAGTATATTTTTTTATAATATTGAAGTAATATAAGTTAATACTCTCCAGAGAAAATAATAAATCCTGAGTACTCATAAATCATGGAACACAAATGGCAGATACAAAATGTGTTATATCATGTACTTCCTGTGAATCTAAATTTGCCTTTTCTCTGTGTGTTAAGTATTCGTAACAGATTTCTAACGCTGAGTTTTCAGTGGTAATCTGACTGTAGGGACTAGTGTTGTTTGGTTTTGAGCAGGTAACTGCTGTTGCAACCGTAAAAATGAAATACAGGTACCTTGCAAAACGTCTTGGATAATTACATGATTTGGTCTTTCAGACATTCTGCAAAGGTCTTCTCTTTGTCGTTTAAAGAATTCAAATTCCTATTTTTGATAGCGATTGCAACGTGTGCCATTTTAACACCTCTTCACCCCGGGCTTACTACCTTTGGTTGGGGAGATTAACAAAATGCTACAAAAATGAGTAAAATATGCACAAAAATAGAGACCATTTTTATGTAATTTTAATGTTTGCAGTTACCTCATACACCATACATTCCAAAATGAAAATTTGTTATACTATACATACTACCAGACATATCACTTTAAAATGTTCGTTATGGGAAAAATGTATAATCATAGATATGTATCTAAAGTGTATCTGTATAGCCATGATATCTACAAAGGATCCATGCACAATAAAAGATTTATAATTCTTAATTATGTTTGAAGTTTGGGCATATGCTTGTCTTTGGATCATCCATTAATTGTTAATTTACCAAGTAAAAACGTCGAACATCTACTGCGTCCAGCTGATCAAATGTAAGCATTTGATGCTTTGCTTTGATGTTTTTAATCATTGTTAATTGAATATTTATTTGATTTTGGACAAATGTTCAGAGAAAACAACATTTGAAGTTGCCTTAGGCTCTCGGACACTCATTTTATTTATTCATTATTTGTATCTTATCCTGTTCACGGGTCTGGAACCTGTTGCAGCTGACATTGGGTTAGAGGCAATGTATGCCCTGGATAGGTCACCAGACTGTCAGAGGGCTGACTAATTGAGACAGACAAACATTTATGCTTACATTCACACTTATGGGTAATTATAAGTTCCCAGTTACCTTAACCTGCATGTCTTTGGACTGTAAGAGGAAGCTGGAGGAAACCCACGCTGACCTGGGGAGAACATGGTCTGGGAAACTGAATTTAAATTTCCAGATGGTTTATAGCCCTAAAAGGAATATTTCACCCCCAACTGACCATTTATTTATATATTTATATATATATATTACTCACCTTGTGTTATGTTGAATTCATGAAGAAAACTTTGTTCTTCTTGCATGCCCCCGGTGAACGAAGATTCAAAAACTCTCATCAACTTATGAGAATGATCGAAGTCTCATGTATCCAGTTGTATGCTCAGTGCTTCCCAAAACACATGCATTTTCACTAAAACCATACTATTTAAAACTGACCTGAACGTTACTTAGCTATGCTCTCTTCAAAGCCAGACTCCATTGACAACAACAGTCATTTTACCTCACTGAACACAGGAGCTGCTGGGCTTCTGCTGCCTCTATAGTAGTTTTGTGTGTATTGTGTGACTTTGGTGAATCTGAACTGACCCTTTAAAACTGAAGACCCAATAACACTAACTAACCGACTGAGGCAGGGGTAGACCAGTAGCTCCCGTATTCAGCAAGGTAAAATTAATGTTTTTATCAATGGAGTCTGGCTTTGAAGAGAGCAAGGATAAGTGCAATACCACCATTGTATTTTGACAGACGATGATAAAGACAGGTGTTGTGCAACATCCCCTTTAACCAATGGGAGAATCTTGTTTTCTTTTCTCAGGTCTCAGGTGTTTTATCTCTTTGGCTTAATGATTCAAGACAAGAAGACTTGTGTCCAAAGCATTTAGAAAAAAATGACCAGCCACCAATGGAACACAGAAAATTAACATTCCAATCCTAATGTTGATACAGAGATACTTCTTCTGTCTGGTCCTTATTTTATCGTGTCCTCAGAGTTCAACACACTGCTACACCTCACATTACTGTGAGTGTGAGTGTGTGTGTGCTTCTGGAGTAAGATATAAGAGCTCCTGTTCACTGCACAAGCACACCTAAGTGGTGTAAGCAGGAGAGCCATGATTAATGAGGGCGAAAGTGGGCTTACTCGTCTCGGTCACCATTCTGTGTACAACATTGGCTCTTGTTGAGAGACGGACTGGAAACCCATTTTAAAAAAAAAAAGGGCACACAAGCTTTCCCTGTCGTGTTGCTTTGACAGGTGTAAACAATGACAGAGGAGAGACATCACATTCCTGCTGCCCCTCCGAGAGCCGAGCTGTGCATCAGCTCAGTGTAAACACACAAATACACCCTGATGTCAGTGTGACTCTTGTTTCAAAGGGTCATTTAGATCTAATGGATATGGTGGCTCTGAACCAACAGAGCACACTGGTGGTCATCCAGCAGGTCATCCAGGCTGTGCTGGTGACTAATGTTTATTTGGACACAAAATGGGGAAACCTGTAGATCAGGAACTGAAAAAAAAAACCCTCTGTCCACGTTCATAGACCTTTTACTGGGGATTTACGCACTAGTTGGGGAATTCTTTGATTCTGTTCAGTTCACAGAGAAGCAGAAATGATCCAGTTGTCATATTGATCTGCAGAGCTTGCAACATTCCTTCTCCCACTCTGAAACTTTGATTGAAAACCTCTGAATTTGTGGATTCATGGGACATGAAGTCAAGAACACTGCCCACTGGCTTGTTGGAGGTCACCCTAAATTAAAGCATGTATTCTGATACTAGATTGTAAACCTTGACCACATGTAAGAGCTCACACAAGAATCTCACAAATCACTCCATATGAACCACGACACAGCCCGATATGTTTAGTCTTTTGACCTTTTCAGGCCCTGGTTATACCTCTAAGCACTGACCAAACTCCATGTCATTTCCTAAAATGGCATTCCTTTTTAACCAGCATTGTTGAGGTTCGGTTTATTATAACAAGCCTGGTGGGTGACTTGAGGGTGAAGAGGAAGAGGTGAGCTGGTGGGTGTGTGGAGTGATGAAGCCAAGCGGAGAGACAGATGGGGCTGGTGGACAATTAAGCAAACACAGAACTCATTTTTCAGTGAAGACTTCCAGACAGCTTGGCAAACACGCTGGGATTTCAGTGATTGATGCATTAATTAATAAAGTTATACCTCTCCTTATATGAATATTTCTTATGTATTTGTGCTCAGTCCAGATTAGCATGATCCTCAATCTGCATTTATTCTCCCAGAGGAGCAGCAACAGTTAGGGGGGGGGGGGGTTCCCTCGAATCCTATTCCCTCCATCTTATGCCCTTTTACCGTCATCCTTCCCGTCATCATTTGATTACGAAGATTACTTAGATACACACACAGCAGACAACCTCCCTGTTGCTCCCTGACTCCTCGGGGTACTGTGGAGGAGGTGCTCCTTTCTTCATCTTTCACCAGAGCTCGACTGGTTATTGAGCATCAAGGACCGGCTCTGCCACTTCACGAGTTTCTCCCGCTGCTGCTGCTACTGCTGCTGCTGCTCTCCAACGACACAACAGAAACCAAGAAAAGTTAAAAGGTCTGAGAGATCCATCTCAAGTTAAAGGTAAAGGCATCAGCAAAGATTTCTTTTTACACTAGGGTGTTATTTCTACTTTTAGAGGAGGAGACTAGTGATTTTACTTGTTTTGGTAATTTTATTACAAGCTGCTTTTACTTTATATTGAAGCTAAGCATTATATTGTTGTGTTTCACTTTTTCCAGGCAATTATGAGACACTTGAGTTGTGTAATAATATAGTGTGCACTTATCTTTTGCCAAAGTTTACATTACTGCTACAAGGAAATGCAGCGTAATCATTTTTAATCACTTAAACATTGCATTAAACCAAAAAATGAATGCGGACTTTATGTTTACTGCTGTGAATCATGTATCTGTAGTAACAGGTGTTCATAATGCACATGAATGAAAAGAAAGCAACAGTTGCCTGGAATTAAAATGAAGGCTTTAAAAAATCTCCACATAATGTCAGCAGAAATGTGAAGTCTACATAATGTTTAATTAAGTGAGATAAAACACAGGTTTAGTCCACTAATGATCTGTTGTTCTCTCTCCTCAGCTACCTGTTGAGTCTTGATTTCACATTTTGCTGTGCCTGCACTCAGCGGAGGTTGGCATGCCCTGGACCAGACCTCAGGTGGACCTTCATGCCACTGGAGCAGAGGCCATGGACCAATACAACATAGACGACCACCACTTTGAAGGCTCCCTGTTCCCCACCTCCACTCTCATCCCCATAACTGTCATCTGCATCCTCATCTTCATCATCGGCGTGACAGGCAACACCATGACCATCCTCATCATCCAGCACTTCAAGGACATGAAGACCACCACCAACCTCTACCTGTCCAGCATGGCCGTGTCTGACCTCATCATCTTCATCTGCCTGCCCTTCGACCTCTACCGCCTGTGGAAGTACGTGCCCTGGCTGTTCGGGGAGGTGGTGTGCCGCTTCTATCACTACATCTTTGAGGGCTGCACCTCGGCCACCATCCTTCACATCACGGCCCTGAGCATCGAGCGCTACCTGGCCATCAGCTTCCCCCTCAGGAGCAAGATGATGGTGACCAGACGCAGGGTCCAGTACATCATCATCGCCCTGTGGGGTTTTGCCTTGGTTTCTGCTGCTCCCACACTCTTTCTGGTTGGGGTGGAGTATGACAATGACACTCACCCGGACTACAATACAGGGCAGTGTAAGCACACCAACTACGCCATCAGTTCTGGGCAGCTGCACATCATGCTCTGGGTGTCCACAACCTACTTTTTTTGCCCAATGCTCTGCCTCATCTTCCTCTACGGCTCCATTGGGTGCAAGCTGTGGAAAAGCAAGAATGACCTGCAGGGCCCCTGTGCTCTGGCCCGTGAAAGGTCACACAGGCAAACAGTTAAGATCCTGGGTGAGTGTAAACAGATCCGTGTTTCTTTCATGCTTTCTAAAACCTCTGCTTGTCATTGCCAGGAAATAAAAAAGACAGACAATTCAGAGTCAGGAGTGACAGCTTTTAAAACCATCTTTGGTGGAAGAAAAACCAGAAATCTGTTTCACACAGGCAATCTTCCTTTCAATGTTGCTGAAGCAAAAACAGGCTGACAGATGACTGCAGAATGTAGGATTTCTTGTTTCCTGCACTTGGTCTGTTGTGTGTGTTTGCTGTGGCGAATTAAAATTTAGTTGTCATATAAGAACTGATTTTTACTCCATTTAAAACCTAAAATAGTTCCATTCATTCTGTTAAATCCAGCTCCAGCTCCAGGGCAGTGTGCTGCTTTCATCCTGCAAGTCTGACGATAGTGGGTGTCATGTGTGTTTTCGATATCAGCTGGTCAATTATTCTGTTTTGTCTGGAGCTAATCATGTCCTGCCACTGCACATACTGATTGGCTTAATTTCCAGCTCTGGCATATTGTGCAGGAAACCATGTTGTACAGTAAAGGACCGTGGCCAGGCCAATCTGTATTACCCAAATATTTAATCATGATGCATCCATCAGGATATTAATGCTGTTCATTAGCTGAGCACACACTGCACAGAGCTCATGTTGTCAGAGTTTCTGCCATTTGTATCCACATTTGTTCAATCCCAAATTGGATTGTCATCAGAGACCTCCATAAATCAACCATAATGGAAATGTACATGCTCCCACAGTCCTGGGCTCCTTTTTAATTTGCTAGTGTCACACATCTCAGGAGTCACTCAACGATGGCTGTTCCCACACGGCAAGACATGATCAATTCTGGACAAAACTAGGCCATCTGTTCACTCCACTCACTGTGAATCCACAATGTAGGCCTTCAATTTATTAACTGTTATTGTTGATTCAGAAATAATTAGGCTCATGTGGGCCAGATATGTCTCTCTTTTAATTTTTGAATTGACATTCATCCTTACAGGAATTACTGCCCCCATCAGACAAATTGATGGTAATTTTATCCACTGCAGCTTCTTGATCAATACCAGTGACTCAGTGATTACCTCAGCCAGCACTGAGATTTACGGCTTTCAAAAGCTAAATGAATCTTTGTTCTTCTTTGGATTTGTGACGTTTTCTTCTCAGTGGCATTCTGCTGTACATGCTCTAATTATCTCGCTTACTTGCCTGCACATGTATAGTGAAAATGTGACTTCATTGTTGGGGCCAATTGCAGGCCAGTGTCACTTAAGGGAACAAGGGAGGTTGTGTTAGTGTGTGTGTGTGTGTGTGTGTGTGTGTGTGTGTGTGTGTGTGGGCTTGAGGAGAAGTTCTTTCGATGTTAATTGCTGCTAGTCATTAATAAATGTCAAGGGTGACCACAGACTATAGATCACAGGTTACTTAGATCCTGAAAACCAATTTTCTTAATCAGCCTGTTATTATAAATGAGCTGCAACATGAATACCATATTGTATTTAAAAGTTAGAGTAATACTGATTATTTCCCATGTGAGATTTGTCTGTACTGAGCCTCTCACTGGTTTGAAGCAAACAGGGCTCAGCTGAAAAAAAAAAGACTTAATTTAACAATATAAGAAACAGGATGCATTGTTGTCAGTTAAATCTGATCAAACCACTCCCACACAGTCCTAATGAAGCAGATTAGCTGAGGGTTTATTAAACTCTTATTAGGTTTATTTTTTTTTCTAACCTTAAATATAATATTTGCTTATCCTAGAGGTCTGGACTCGAGTCACTTGATTCTGACTTGAGTCACAAATTTGATGACTTTAGACTCGACTTGACAAAACAAAAATTAAAAAAAAAAAACACGCAACTCCACTAGGACTTTAACACCAGTGACGTGTGACTTCACTTGGACTTGAGCTTTCTGACTTTAAAACACCTAATACGTTCCCCAAACACAAAGATTTAGAAAAAAAGTGTGTTATTTAAAAAGTGTGCCATGAATCAATTAATTTCCCTTAATTCCCTGAATCAGCTAACAGTAATGCTGCCAGCGTGCTGACAAATAATTCCCCAGATCCACTTTGTTTGAACCAGAGCTGTAGAACAGAACTATTTTATTTGACCTGAACCAATCCAACAGCATCCAATCAAAACTGTCTGCACCGCCACTGGACTTCACAGCTGATCTCAACAGGACTACACTCACTCACTCACTCACTCACTCCAGACTGTCTCTGAAAAGTTTATGGGTTGATGCTGTTTGACAGGCAGGTAGGAGGCTCAGTTATCTGAGTGTAGCTGTGCTGTAAGTAAGGCATCTGGACTCAAGAGTTTTCTCTGACAAAGATGAAATTTGAGTTTTAATAACCAACTCTGTGAAAGGACATGAGTTTAAGTCTTTAGACTAACATGTTGCAGATTAAGACAGAATTCAGACTTTAATTAAATTATTTTTCTGCCTCTTAACAGTGAGATTGATATGTCAGAGTTTATAGTGAACCTGGATATAAATCCTAGTTGTCTCAGATTAGTTACTTGTGTTGTCAAAGTTTTTTGAGACCATAAATAGAGATGTTGAGCTTTTCAAATGATGATCAGTAAGTGTGTGCTCTTAAATCACCCCTTAAACCTGTCAAAAACTGCTGCAGAAATACAAGTTTGTAAGTGTGTAGAAATTATTTTTTAGTTGTAGAAAAAATGTCTAAATGAAAATGTATACCACCTGTCACCTTGATTCTAATTTCTGATACATGAATTAGCCTCACTGGATTAGTTTCAATATAGGAAGAAAAAAAAATGCTGTAAATTTTTGTCAACTAAAACTAGACTATGAAGTATAAAAATGACTAAAAATAAAAAGCGTTTTCATCACACGACTGAGACTAAATCTAAAATAGCTGTCAGAATTAACACTGCAAAAAACAAATTGCAGTAAAATGTGTGTGTCAAAAATTAGAGATACACCTTCCAACAAACTTTTGTTTTGTATTTACTATGCAAATGTGAGTGATATTAATTTTCTCATCTTCTTTTAAATGAAAATCATTTCCCCTTCTTGTCTTTATTTTCCCTTCAGTGGTGGTGGTGTTGGCTTTTATAATCTGCTGGCTGCCCTACCACATTGGCAGGAACCTCTTCGCCCAAGTGGACGACTACGACACGGCCATGCTGAGTCAGAACTTCAACATGGCCTCCATGGTGCTCTGCTACCTCAGCGCCTCCATCAACCCTGTCGTCTACAACCTCATGTCTCGGAAGTACAGGGCCGCAGCCAAACGCCTCTTCCTGTTGCACCAGCGGCCCGGACAAGCCCACCGCGGCCAGAGACAGCTCTGTGTGACTGACCACATCTCCACCCTGAATGAAAGCCTGACTGGGGTCTGAGGGGCCCCTCTAGAGAGGTGCTTTTACAGGCTTGTTTGACTTCATCGCAGTGTTTGCAGGCATCTTTAAAGTTGCAGCTGAAGAGAAAACTTGATGAAGATGTGTAGAGGAGGAATGTTTGCTCCATTGCACTTCAATGCAAAATCAGATTTACTACTACTCAGCGGCATTTTGTTCACAGAGACTGGGTGATGTCACTTTTCATTTTTTTGGTCAAGACAACAGGAATTCAGCGGATTCCAAGCGAAAAAGTTTCCATTTACGCTTTCCTCTTTCAGTGTTACACCTCAAGCAGAAATATTTAACTCCACACTGTGTGCTGCTACATGTTTTTTCTTGCTTGCTGTCAGCGCTTACAGAACACACACACACACTGTTTCAGTTCACAGTTACCGTCAATCCACAGCACTGATTAATAATAAGTGATCCCTCTTTGTTAAAGACAAACGACGTTTGCCACATTTGAAATGACTGTTCATTTATAATGTGTAATTGTAGTCTCAGCTCCACTCTGTCGTAAGATTGAATTTGTTTAATGTATGGTGAACAATTGTTATCATGCTGTTTGTTTGTTCTCATAAATCAAGAAAAACAAAACAAGTAAACCTATTAGCTGTGGTCCATTAGTTGTGCAGATCTGAAATTGGGTATTCCAGTGTTTGTGTGAATGTGTGTGTGTCTATGTGTTTGCAGGGTTGTGTAGCATCTCCCCAGTGAATAGATGGAACATAAACTTCATAAAAGCACATTACTATGAAAATGGGGCAGTTGATGCCTGTGTGTGTGATACAGAGACCATCTGAGCCCTGGGGTTTTGGGGCTGTGTACGTGCCGGCCATCATGTAATCTGACACGGCTATTATATTACCTGTGCTCTGAGTTAGATTTAGCCTGGCAGCCAACGTCCCTGCATCACCATATTCAAAGTAATGGCTGCTCTAAGTGCATTTCAAAGAGGAAAAAAGATATTAGGTTGTCAGCAGCGGCAGAGGTTATTGTTTTTATTGCTTCCACTTGCATAATCTTGACACCATTGTACAATTCTTCTTTGATGCTGTATTTTGGATTAGGAATCGTACACTTTGTACCTCATACTCTGGCAAGAAAGGTAACGTCAAAGTTATGTATTTTTAACCTGAATACTGTCTAATCCTAAAATAAGCTCAGAGTTTTCCAGGCTCTGTCTATACATCTTGTTCTTTAAAAGGAACTGTCGTGATTTTGCACATGAATCATCGGGCCTTGGTTTGCACGAACACAAAGAGACAAAGTCGCTCTGGGCTGACTCATCCTCATGACACTTTTTTCACCGAGCCATTCATCTCTGCCAGAGGAGCTGAAGCAACGGGTAAAAGCTTACATACCACAGCCCGTCCTGCCATCACCTGGGGAAAGATCAGCAAGCAGCACGACTCCTCCACTGGTTATTTTCTTTACTGATAATGAAGAGAGTGTCTGTGAGCGGCTCGTCCAGAGCTGTCAACACCTCCCTCGGGCCTTCTTCACACCACCTCAAATCATTCAGCATTAGAAATATACATTTTGTTTGTTTTGACTCTACTTTTCAGGTCACGACTTCTTTTCTTTCAGCAAACCTCTAACATACTGCACGCACCTCTTTTGGATTTGTAGCATATAAGCAGTGACTTATTTGATTAAAAACGATAATTCTAAATATAGATAAAATGTGATGACATATGTTTCCTGAGGAATTTATTAAGTTCAGAAGGACTTAAATTCTTTAGCAAGAATATTTTATAACTGACATGTGCTACAATGATATTACTGCTGCTGCTGCTGCTGCTGCTTGTTACTGCGTTATCAGTGTTTTCCTCATCTCATGGCTCTTGTTTCAGTCCTGAGGCCTGCTATTAAGAAACTGAGAAAATATGTAATTCACACACAAACCATATTTAAACTGATTTGCAAGCAGAGTCTTTGGATGGCTGCATCTGCCTCATTTCAATATCTAGAAAGTGTTTCGTGATTGTTGCAGTGTTATTAAAGGAACGTGGAAGTCTTTCAAAATTAAAGTACTTAATTTAAAGTTCAGAGTTTTAAAAGTACCCACTTGGTGGAAACTACATGGATTTACACATATATAACCTATAATGCCATGCCATGCTGCTTTGCACTATGTTTCTTCATTTGCATTCATCTCCAAATGAAACTGAAATTTAAGTTTATCTCTTCTGAGAAATGATTGCTTTCTGACACAGCTGCACAGGCCATCATTTCTATGTAATGGTCTTTTCTACCAGAGGGAGGAGCCAGAGACTACTACTGTGTGTGTGTGTGTGTGTGTGTGTGTGTGTGTGTGTGTGTGTGTGTGTGTGTGTGTGCCTGCCTGCTTAAAGAAGAATTACAGCAATATCAAACATTTGCTGGGATTTAAATCGGTCAGAAATAGCTACAAGCTACATAAACACTGCTCATATAGCTGTTCACTTCTCCCTGTAAGAAATCTTAAATCAGCTTCCCCTTTCAGCCCATTTCCACAAATTATAAGCAGCACATATTTACTTCCTGTTTGGCTCCGTGTGCCTGGAGGTCCATGCATGTGGTCACAGGAAGCTGCACTAAAATGGAGGATATTTAGGAGGAGGGTCTGCACAACAACTCTCTCTAGAAAGACTGCAGGGGTTCACAGTCTTTCCTGCTGGTTTCTGTTGTAGCCATGCTGCTCTTCATGGCTTGTCATGACTGTAAACATTAAGCAGTCAGGACTGCTGCCTGTGTTTATGGTCCTCTGTACTCACACTGGATGTCTTACCCCAAACTGGCCTGCTGTTATCTGCCATCTCAGTGGTGTTGCTCCTTGGACATAGGAAGACAACAGCATGCAATATTCAGAGGCAGTGTACAGAGGTGAATGCTACCAGACCACACCAGGCTTTTCCTCCTTTATCTTTCACTCTGTGCTATGAGAGTCTGTGTCCGGCCTGCAGAGTCTTCCAGGCTGCAGGAATCATGACCCTCACTCTGATCCCCTAAAAGAATGCTAAGGAACTTGACCAAATTTTCCTTCACCTGTTAGCACAGAGAGCCTGAGTGTCCACTCGTGTTTGAAGGGAGGTCTGGATCACCACCAGCCAACACTGTTATGACCAGAGCAGGAGAGACCATTGTCTCTCCTGCTGGTTTCTCTTGTAGCCATGCTGTTCTCCTGTGGCCTCCAATGCCACCTCTTTCTCTCTCCCACTCCCCAAACCCAAAGCTTTTCCCACCCCAAGCTGACTGTGTGGCCAATCTGCTGCTATAATGGAGAGCCCAGGGAATTTGGTGACCACCTATTTAGAAGTGTGAAGTAATGTATCAAACATAAAAGCCTGAAATTGTTAGTCAGTGTCTCTCTGCGTTGGCAGTCATTCCTCTCTGGTACAGAGAGCCAGGCGTGTGCCACTGCCACCTCACTTTCACTCCGTGCTCTTGTCATCACAGCTGGGTGACAGTGAGACAACAAACACAAATGTGCCTTTGGTTTTTACAAACCATCAGGCACTCCCACAACGCTTTCAAATGCCTTTAATGGCAGTAATAATGATAATAAGCTTCATTTATAAAGCACTAATCACCTTGTCGTCGAAAGCTTTTAGTAAACAGTTTCCATTGTTTAATGAACCATGTTACACACAGAAGAGCTAATGCTGTGTTTCTTCCTCCAAATTAGTAGTAGAGTTCCCTGCAATTTGGAGGCTAATTTATATCTACTTGGTATCTGTGAAGTGTTTGTTCATGAGCAGTGTTTGACATTAGGCCCTTTGAGAGAAAAATATCATCTCACTAAACAAGAGAACTGTTTATCTGTCGATTTCAAACCTGTGAAACCAGATCACAACTTGCTTTTGTCTATTTGATAAGTAAACAAAAGGACGCAAGTGACCAACATGATCACATAAACACTTTAGGATGGGGATCAGAATATGGTTTTCACATGAGCTGTTAATTCACAAAATTTGAGGACCGTAATGGTGTTTCTCTCCATAATGACTTTGAACTAAAAAAATGTAAAGAACATTATATGATCAGTACAGCAGCAGGAGGGACAACCTCTCCTGCAGTTGTGCAGTGTGTTGTTGATGAGTTAGAAACCAGTCCATTAGATGGCTTCTCTACATTTCCACACCACAAACCGCTTAAGTGACTGCCTCTGCTTTCTCCTGGCCCGCAGCAGGAAAGAGGTATCCCAAGATCTTTTCTTCCTTACAAGAAAACTGAAGATGAGAATAACTGACTAAGAAGCAGCTAACAGTAATATTTACATGCTGACCAGCTGTGAGTGTCCTGCACTTGCATAAGAGGAAAACCAGAGACAACATGCAAAATGCAGTACAGTTGGAAGAGAACAAGCAGCATTAGAACTGTGCTATGGTGAAAACAAACTCTTGCAATGCTTACATGATGAAGTAGTTGCAGGTGGAGGTGAGGCCCAAAGTGCAGGCATTCCAGACATGCACAGTTATGCCTGGAACTAATGAAAATCCTGCAGCATATGTATGCATGACATGTTATTTAATAAGACTGTAGACACTTTTTCTTGAAACAACTCCTTTATCCATTGGCATTGTTAACTTTTTTTTTGTTTTACATTGAATTATACTTTACAAGAATAATTTGCATCTAAGTATTGTCTAGGCTAAATGTTTGACCTTTGAACTCTTGTTTTTTTGCCTGCAGATATTGAGGATGATTTGTTTTTCAAGTTGGTGAAATTTAGAGTGCTTGCAGGAATTGTAGAGAGACTATAATGAGACATAGAATATAATAAATAAACCAACCATTAGATGCCACAAGTGTCGATAGCAAGGGTGCCAAACATACAAACCAGCCAGCCAAAGGGTCCAATCCAAATATTGATGCACTTGTGAAGGCTAAGAGGCGTCAGGTTTTAAGAGCAAGTTTAACAGTGAATAGCCCTCAACCCCTGTTCAATCCCAGACCTTTAACATGAGGAATAAAAGGAGGAACGTAATGTCACTCACTGTCATCATCCCCGTCTCAGCTTTGGAGGGAGTCTGCAGTCGCTCTGTGGCCCACCTCTTCACCACTGAGGCCACCTGAGGACTATCTATGCTGAGCACATCATGTTGACCGCACTGTAGTGGTATGGCTCCAGGTTGACGGAAGGCAGGTCCTGTAGAAGTACAACAACATCAGTGCAGAATTAATGTGATTCTGCCTAAAAAATACCCCAAAATGACTGTAAGTTACTCAGCAAGGGTAAAGGTACACTTGATGAAAACAGTGGGACAATATACAGTTGTACAGTACAGTATAATACCATGAAATTATGCCAAGGGCAGGGAAAACAACCAGCAAACTTACTACTCCCCCCCCCCCACCCACAGATGTGATGAGCATTGCTCATCTAGCCACATTCCAATCAGTGATGTAACTGCAGGTGTTTTCTATCAGCTGGAAAGGGCAAAAGGCATACTTTACTCCTTTGGTTGTGGCCAGGACTAAAACATGCTTGTAAGTTTTAGCTCACAGAAAGCAGGCCTGCAGCATAATTGATTGGTAAATTAATTGAAATATTAGGAAGAATATCAAAGTTGTCTCTCAACTTAATGCAGTAACGTTTTCGTGTGTGCAGTGAGCATTAGCAAGGATATATAGACTATATAGGCTTTTTAAATTGTATGTACTGTCACTGTATCCAATGGTGAAACACAAACATACCATTTAAATTGGTTGTAGATACTTCCTGTACATTGCTTGTTGGGTTGCACCATGTGGTTAAAAATGCCATCTATAGTTTCTAAGTCCAGTTTGCGTCTGCCAAGCCCAGTGCTGGAACAAGTATTCAGATATTTTGCTCAAGTAAACATAGCAATAAAACAGTATAGAAATACACTTTGTTACAAATAAAAGTCAATTCAGTTTTATTTATAAAGCCCAATATCTCACAATCACAATTTTCCTCAGGGGGCTTTACAGCATATGAAATTAAAATTGAAAGTTTTACCTTTACCCATATAATACATCAAAATGTATTTGTTGATTTTTGTATTAATTATCTGAATCTGTAAAGAAAATAGTAACTAATGTTGTTTAAAAAAAAAGTGGAGTAAAAAAACAATTTTTTTCAAAATGTAGTGAAGTAGAATTATAAAGTAGCAAAAATTAAAATACTAACCTAAAGTAAAAGTACCTTAAAACCTTAAAATTTAATAATTCTGCTCTGCCTCCATCATCAGTTTGTCGAAAAGGTTCCAAAAAAGCGGATTTTATTTTGAAAGTCTTCAGCAGAAGTAGTATTTTTCAACCTGACTGACTTGACAGCGCCGACGGAGCCAAATGCGCGTAAAAGTTGTCCACTCCTCCTCCTCGTCCATGAGACTCATTTGGCTCCAGATATAAACACAGAGCTGCTCTCTGTACCCGCTGCGCTCCTCAGTCTCTTCACAACCAGCAGACAGTTTGCTCCAAGAGGCCGAGGAACAGGAAAAAAAGCCAGGAGGGGACGATCTCTGGCGCATTCCCAAGGATGGAGGTAACAACTCTATGACTCTGAGCGTTGTTTGCTGTTGCAGCCTGTACTTTTAGGCCACTTGAGCAGATGTTTTTAACATTTAATGTGGGTTTGTGCAGCCAAGTGTGGTTGGAATTAAAACATTACATCATCGGAGCTCAAGTGAGTAACTTTGTAGTATTTTTACTGGTCTATGTCATTACTGTGATATTTCTGGAGGGACTAGGAACTGTCTGTGCAAACACTGAACAAATAGTAGTACTGCATTATGAGGTAGTATATGCACATGTGGCCATGTTGTCATCACTAAAAAAGTTCCTGAAGGTTTTTACAATATTTACCTCATTTATATCATATGTGATATTATACAAATATGTGTTACACATAATGCAATAGACCAGTTGGTATTTATTATGATAAACTCTATAAAAGGATGATATACTTCTCTTTCTCTGTTCTGTTATTAGCACACACACCAACATAAACATGGCACCTCTTTGCCTCAGTACGTTTGAGCTTCAGGCCGATATGATTATAAAGTACATTTGCGGTAACTACATCATAACAAGAAACCACAGTCTAAGTGGAGGGAAATGGAGCTGACAGCACATCTGTCACGAGCCAGTGTTTGTGCCCTGATAAATGTGTGGAGTAAATGCCATTAGTCGATTTGGTTTCCACTGCAAAGTCTGCTCTTTGTTTTTAAGTCTGAACATCAGCAATTTACCACCCATCACCTGACAAGCCATGCCTTCCCTTCTCAAAGGCCAATCTGTCCTTTACCCACTTGCGCAGACGCTAAATTAGAAAACAAGTGTGCTTCTTCATTGGAGGGCTGTCTGAGTCCTGCCACACATGTTTTTCCTGCAGGGTTTGCTCATAGGTTTGTGGCCTCCTCCCTGCAAAACAAGCTGTTCTGTTCTGACTTTTAACATCACTTCCAAGTATTTAATGTCATGTGGCGGATAGGCAGAGAAACTCCCATTTTTCTCCCCACAGCACGTAAAGGAGCACTACTCTTACATACCACTCAATGTTAAGACTCAGATGTACTTTAGACCAGTTCTGCTTGGATTTAAGACCTTAGTCTACTTTGTTCTTTCTTTGTTGCCGAAATTGAGAGAAAAAAACTTGGACTGCCCCCAAATCTAGAAAAGAAGAAAGGATGACAAATAGATAGAGGGGGCGTTCTGGGTAAACAGTGTTGTTCTTATACAGAATAGTTAGAGTTTCTGTGAGATAAAGCACTTTTGAGAGTGAAAAAAAGTGTAACCTGCACAAACTGAACACTGAGATGGAGTAAACAGGTTCGAGTATTGGTGCCCTCAGCTTTTTCTGAATGAAGCCTTAGAGTACAAACCCAGTCCAAATCTTACAAGCTATGTTTTCACTTCGAGCGAACAGTCTAGGAAGTGATTTAGAGGTAATGCTGCAATTTAAATTTAAACTGAATGCTTCCATGGCACTTAAATATCTGATCTTGGTGAGCAACTACCTAACCATGGCGATTTTTCACTTCAGATATATTTGTATATATTTACGTTGATGGTTTAAGTAAAATATGGCACGCCAGACTCTGTGATTTTAAAACTTGAATTAAAAACTGTGCCATGTGTAACAGCCCATTGAGTTCAGTCAGGTTTGCAAGTTTTGATGTTCTAGATGATTCAGACAGTCATTTGTCAGTCGTTTCCTGTAAAGTCATTTTGGTCTGAACCCACTGATGACACTCAAGAAATGCTCCTTGGGTCTTGTCAAATTTATGAGTAAAATGAAATCTGTCAGCTGTTTTTACAAGGGTTGCCGCTGTTGGTGCTAAAAATTGAATTACGTGCTCAGTTTTTAATTACAGTCGCTTCCTTTTTGCCAAAAATGCCTACCAGTAAATCATCTGACATGTGAAATGAATTTGGATGAGATGGATCAGCTCCCCCAGATGTTAGCTTTTGAGAATGGGATGCTTTTGTGTGCTGCAGCTTTGGTCTAAGTTTGATGGGATGGTATTTTTGCATGCTGCATTCTGCATGTCTGTAAAGATGTGCTAAACTATCCTGTAAAGCCAGTCTCACACTCAGGTTTGCACTCTTATGACATCACCTATTAGTAAAAATTCTGCGGTGTGTTTCTACCTTTAGGAAAGAGCCGTTCGCGCTCGCCAACATTGATTTACAGCTGCCTCAAGCAAGCCTAAGAGGAGATTAACGCATGGAATTTTTTTTTACAACAGCAAGCTATTAAGTAGACAAACTGGAAATGTTGTGCATCCATGTGTGTGTACGTATGTATCTGTGTGTGTGTGTGTGTGTGTGTGTGTGTGTGTGTGTGGGTGTGTGTGCACCTGAGGATTTGTGGAGTGGGAGGTGGTGGTTTTCCTTTGATGGAAAAACAACACAGCTAGAGGAGTGAGCATTTGGGATTGCCTTGCCAACCATATGGTGTGCACATTTATTATGTAATCCATAGTAAAGTTAAGAGACCAATAACAGACTCAGTCTGTACCAGCCAGACGTTTGCTAATGAGTCAGGTTTTTCCCATTTCGCTTTATGTCATTTAAATAGTGTCACACTGTTATGATTGTTATTACTCGTGCAGTGACCGTCCAAAACGTGCGTGTTTGGAACAGGACGATCGCTTGGTCTGTGGTACTGCTGCTTGCAACTTTCTCCAGAAACGCGCTCGTCCAAACAACTTCACACTTGACACCGCGCTTCCTTGGGACCTGAACAATACACCTGCCATAACATTGTTGAATCCCCTAGCAATGCTAATACGCCATTTGCTAACAGCTTGCTATTTGGGACCAGGTTGTTTCCAGGAACAAAAGCGTTCAGGCCAAAAGTTACATCTCTGATGCTTGAGATGTTTGAAGTTACTTCAATGTCTGCGGTCTTGTGTTCTTCATCTGTTGATGAATGTACCTTAGCAAGGAGTACAAGCTATACCCAGCATGCTGTTGGGTATTTCCTGTAATTCTCAGCTTACATTTGCCACTGCACTTCCTTACGTCCTCAGCAGTACACCTGCCAAGTGTGAACCTGACTGGATGAGAAGTTGTCGAGACTGTTTTACTGTAGTTAGATGAAAGAATACTTCTATCTCTACTATCAGTGACAGATACAGTCTGAGGTGTTTGCTGAGGCAGTGTATAAGCTGTATGTGCTTCAGTGCAGGATGAATGGTTCACTCTGTCCTTAACATAAAACAGGAACCTAACTGACCATGAAGCCCAGTGGAATGTAAATCATCAGCATCAAGGAAAGCCTATGAAACTGTAGCCCATTCTGTAAGTCACAGTGTAGTCATGGTTGGTGTTCAGAGTGTGTATAAACTGTCCAAATGTTATTGGATTTTATAGCTTATACAGTTCATTAAAGTCTTGCGATTGAAGTGCTTCTGAGCCATGATAAAACGATGTGCATGAAGAGCACACAGAGATGATAGGGCAAACCACTGGTATCTCATGTGACTTTCAAAACTCAGATTGCACTAAAGCTTCCTGTTGTCTGAGTTTTTTTTTTCCTACGACATCCTGCAAACCACAGCAGCTTTCTCTGATATTGTCTTTCTAGCATGTTCTCTACCTCCTGTCTACATATTTGAACTCTTGAAACCAGCCTTTTGCTTGCCAGAAATAGTGTGGTTGCAAAATCAGTTGGAAAAGAGAAGCACACAGCAGAAGTGCGTAGTTATTGCAGAATATTCATATTTTTCACTGTAGTTACTGCAGTTTGTCTTCACTGTTTCACAACATATTTAGTTTCCAATGTGATAACAGAAACTGTGAAAAACAGAGCTAGTTTTGTGCAGAATTAACTCCTTGTGGAGATTTCGAGCACTTAAGGCAGTGTTTAGAAATGTTTTCATTAGCCAGTCCAATATAGTGTGTACCTAATGTTCTACTAGCACCCAGATGAGGATGCAGATGCACGCTAAGAACAAATCAGATGATAATCATTTCAGTTGGCTGCAGTGGGCATTAATGCATATCGACAGCAGAGGTAATGGGATGCAAATGCACCAATATAAGTTGAGTAGCAGACAACCTGCGACTGCTGCAGCTTAAACATTCAACATTAGGGCTTTGCAAGTGTTTTATAAGATGCATTTGACATGTCTGCCCAACCTGAAGGATATACACAATGAATTTCACAGTGAAAACTCAAACTGGTAACTGAAATCTGGTTCTGCAGCAATGTACAGCCTGAAGGCGCTGACAAATAGAAGCTGGAACACTTTCAGCAGGATACATTCACCTAAAGAAATAAGCAGCCCACTGTCTCTGGAGATGGCAGTGTGCGCTGACTGAGGCACGTCAATTATATTAAATTAAACTAAGAGATCATTCTAAAATATTACATTGGGTTTGGTATCGTGGGAAAGTTTAGTCATCTACTTTGTTGCCTGTATTTACATCTCCGTGCTGAATTGTCTTTTAAAGTAGTTGTGTGGAAGCTTGGCTCATAGGAGGATGTGTGCACCTTTACGACCAATCAAATGGTTCATAAACCCTCATAATGCCTTAACCGCTTTTTATTGCAGATTGCAGAGCGGTTGTTGTTGTACTTTAGCGTTGTTATAATTTGTTGCCATTACAGGCCCTCGAACCATACATGAAGAGTGTTTTTCTCTCTGAGATCTGCTATCGGAGATGAGGTTGTATCAGACCCTGCCCCTCTGAGTTTGAAGCAGTGCGTGGGGCAGAGAGATAGCCTGGGTGGGAACTGCAGACAAGATAGTGAGGAGCACACTGTGATCTGTAAAAGAAAAACACACTTACTGTTGTTTTTCAAGGAAGTTCTGTCAGGGATGGATACATGCAGAGAGAGGCAGAAAGACAACCTGTCTCAGACATCAGCAGATTGTCAAACATGTTGAGTTTAGTTAGTATAAAGTCTGCAGACGGGTTGTGGGAACAGTGAGCCAGGCGGAGGAAGTAGAAACTCCAAAAAGGCAATATCACGACTTTACAACTTACTTCTGAATCTCCCTGCAGAACAGTTAACCCATACTGCCTGCACCT